TATTCGTTGAGATTTCCTCAACCTGAGTGTCATGGTTGTATGGTTCGGAACTAGTCACTTAGGATCCAACCGAAATAGTATTTTGTGCCAGAAGTGTATTTGAAATTTTCTCATACCTTCGAGTATTATCTGTGGTATGAGATGCTGCCTATAAGAAGGTCTATTTGAGCGGGAGTGTGCAGTTGGGATCTGCCAGCTTTAGGTGTGAAACCTTTGCCAATGCTTGCTATTTATGTGTAGCTTGGAAGCATATTTGTAAGTTGCGGTAAGACTATAGGCTTCTGCTTGTATGTGCTTATCCGCTTGGGGAAATTAAGGTAATGGAGCAGATTTTATTAGAGTTTTGAACTACTCTTCGCCCATTCCTGTAATTTCAAAGTTGGCTTGTTTTGTTGGCAGTTGTAGCCTATTTTGTGCCCCTAGACGCTATGAAGGATCGTTGTGATCCTTGGTCTATTAAGGCCCTAAGTTTAAACAGTTCTCCTCGGTGTTCGTGGAGACAACTGCTGTGGGTAGTAGTACTCTACTTTGATTTTCGCTGTTAGCGTTTGGTTTTAATGCTTTGAGCAGCATGGTGCTTCTTGGCAATTTTCGGGATTTCGCACTTCGGGATTTGCTGTTGCAACTAAACCCGTGGCTCTTTCATATTTGCGCTGTTTGGGATGAGCTGGTAAATGTGCTGTAATGCAGCATTGAATGATGTCGTTTATGACAATAAACGCAATTAAATTGCTTTCGCACTCTTAAGTGTATGTGCATGTGAAAGGCAATTTGTACAAAGCCTTTGTTCGTATAATTGTTTCGATCGGTAATATTCATTTTTGAATTTCTCGCAAGATTTGAGCTTATGCCCCTGTACAAGTTTCGCATGACGTTTGCTTGTACTGTTCGGATGTGAACGTTTGATTTTGAAGAAGCTTCTATTAAATTGTTGTTGCTACTGGCTTGGGGTCTGTGGAAGCTTCTATTTAGGTCATGTTGAACGGGTTTCGTTCTGACCATTTTTATCTACCCTTCTGCGATTTCATATTGGGTAGTTAGAATCTTCATTTGTTGTCCACGTGGGGCATTTTCTTCGTGATGAGAGCGATTGTTCCCATAGAAGTAATGATTTTCTGGTAATGCGGCAGTGCATATGTTTACCAGTATTGGATCCCAGCTGTCTGTGGGAATATTTGTGTCGATAAACCGACAAACAATTTGTAACAGTGGATTGAAGTTTGATAAATTCTTCACTAGTTTCCTTTGAATTTTTGGCAAGTTCATTAATATCGATATTTGTTTATCGACCAATATTCTTTCATTCTCGTATCTCGCTTTAGAGCTTCCAAGCCAGATTGAAATTATCGTCATTTAGTGCGAACTGTTTGACTATGACGCTTGCTTGACCTTTTGTTTTGTATCGAAGGTGATACAATTTTGAGCATTGTTAATTTTGGATGGTTTATGTAAACGGCAGTAAACATGTCTCGAAGGACGGCCATTGTTCATAACCACCATGAAAGATTTCTGTTCACATGCGGGCACCTTGAGATGGATGCCGAACTTGCCTCTTGGCATTGGATTTGTGGCAGCTCTACTCTGGCTGTGGAGTAGGTGCAATTGCTTTGATTAATTTTAATTGGTCAGAAATCATTGCTTTGTTTCTTCGAACTGGTCTAAGCAGTTTCGTATTTGGCGTAAGCAGAAGATTTGAAATTTTCCGGTAGATCTGAGTCGTCAGATTCTACGATTGCGTCATATGCAGCTTGGAGACGTGTCCAGAAATTATCAAGATTTCTTTTTGATTTCTAAATCGATTCAGAATTATCCTGAATCGGCGAAGATGAAAATCGAGTCAGTATCGTATTAGACTGTCACTCTCAGATATAAATTTGGTGTATGAAATATCTTTCACCGTTTTTGTTTGTAGCACCTTGCTTTGAGCTGTAGCTTCTGCAGGTGTACATGGACTTTTTCGTCAGAAATCATTTTAGGTACTTTAGCAATTGAGTGTTTTTGATTCTTTGAGTCTGAGCTCATTAAAAGATGTACCGAAATAAAATAAAATATTTTCAATATAAGAAATATATGTATATTTGAAACCCTTTAAGAAAATAAGGGTTTTTACAAAATAATTATCCTTTTAAACTCGTTTGAGTACCTAACTCTTTTATGATAGTAAGAGTTTTATTTAATTGAATGAATATATTACGCGTATTTCGTGGTTTTATCGTTTTTATATTATTTAATTAATTAATATTAATCGCAAATGTTTTATTTTTACTTTTATTTGTATGTATAATGTGTCCGTAATTCCTATAGGGTATACTATAAGGGATCAGCTGATACATATGTACTTGTCGTTATGCACAATTGAGAGCTCGTCTTAGAGATCAATGCACTTTGTACATAAGTATGTATGTAATATTGTATTTTAATATGCTTTGCGCAATCCTGCTTGTTTTGTTGTCAAAGAACAAGGGTATTGAGTATGTGCCAATGTGGACTTAGAATATTATATGATATATGCAATCTACTGTTTTTTTGTTAACAAAGAACAAGGGTATTGCGGAATATTGCAATGTGGACTTTGAAGCGAAGTATTAACGTATTTTGTATACCTGAGCGTGTATATATATACGCAGTGCGAAAGGACCGCGAAAGGGAAAAAAATATACCGCAGGTATTCTTGTAAATGTATGTATATGTGTATGTATATCACGTAATATATTTGTGCGGAATATATGTACGCAGTGCGAAAAGACCGCGAAAAGTAGAAAAATTTACCGCAGGTATACGATTGAAATTTATGTATATACGTATGTATATCAATTATTAATAATATATGTATATAGCAAGTATTAGTATTATATGTATGTTGTAGGTTTTTCTCCTAATATAGTATGTATGTATATATTTATATATGTTAAATATAATATGTATATGTATGTTTAAATTTATTTTGTACGTTTTCGATTTTTTTTTGTTTTTTGTTTTTTTTTTTTTTGCTTTTGATTGCCTTTGCTTATTTTACGCAATCCTGCTTATACTTGATAAAGTATAAGGGGTATTGCTGGAAATTTGTGCAAGTAAATACTTGAATTATTTGTTTTAGAGATATTTTGTGTATTTGAACACAACGGTAAGCAGTTAGGCAATCAAGAGTTCGTTCGATATATATTTTTTACCAAACTGTTTTATCTTGTAGCGGTATTTCGGTTTTTACCGGAAAATAAACCGAAATATAGAAACAGTTTGGTAACCGCTCTTTTTTGTTATTGCCTTTATTAAGATGGGTTTTTGTAAAAAATAAACCGCAAAGGCATAAATTTCAACATACATACAAAAAGAGAATATATACATATGCTACATGGAATCGATACAACTCACTTTGTACCGCCTCAAGGGTATTTGGGGGTATTTGTATGCGTATGTGCTTGTGCGTGTGCTTTCTGTGGCCCAGTCCTCTGCTGCTTGGCTGCGCTGACTATGTTGAGCTGGTGTGGTTGTTATTGTAGAGTGGCATGTTTTTTTTATTTAATTCGCGCCCGTTTTTTTTTTTTTTTGTATGTAATTTTGTTGTTTTTTTTTTTTTTTTTGTTGAAATTCGCGCCCGTTTGTAATTTTTTTTTTTTTTTTTTATTATTTCGCGCACGTTGTTGGTTTTGTTGTTTTTTTTTCTATGTGTGTATGTATTATATGTATGCCACTTTGCACCGCACTTCTTTCATATATGTTTATATATGTATATATATATATATATATATATTTTTTTTTTTCTTTTTTGTTTTTTGTATGTGTATATGTTTTTCAAATAAAAAACACGGCGTATACAAAAAAGGTAGCACGGGCGGAATGTCTCGTACGTCTCTTCGGTTTGATCGCTAACGAAAAAAGGAGCCGTTTTTTCCTCTGTTAGCCCCTTTTGAAGGTTGAGTTGTGTAGAGTTGTGTGATGTGATGTGTATGTGTGGTTGTCTGTGGGGTGTGATGTCTGCGTGGTGTGATGGTGTGTGTTAGTGGGTGGAGTCTTCTTGTGGATCGTGTTGGTGTGGTGTGTTGGCGCTCAGTGGCGCGTATGGAGGGGGGAGGCGTAACTCATTTAGCCAGTCTTGAATTGTGAAATTACTTCGTTCGCTAAATATTTGGATGCTGTCAGCTTTCTGGGAAAGAGTTTTATTACCCGTGGTCATAGTTTCAGAACTCTATTATTAGATTTTAGTCGGAAGATGGCAGTCATATAGTTCTTTTGGTTTCAATTAACAATTATTATCAGAAGAAATTCGCTAGGCCTTCCAAACAGCTCACCAACAAGCTATAAAGTGTATACATTACTCAAAAGTTGTTAACATATCTTCCTAAGTTTCAAATTAACTCTCGATTTAGAAGTAATACATCCATTGATAAAAACAGGAACTGCTGTAGTATAATGATATCTTGAGTTAGGAAGAACTTTTACAGGCCTATATGTTGCCTAAATTAAGGAGGATTAAGGATTTAAACCTTATCGATTATGCGCTTTTATGTGATTTTCCGTACTGTGATTTATAAAAAGCTCTATGCGCTTAAAGTAAGCTGTTTTCTTTAGCAGAAAATACACACGCACTTTTATTAAAGTATAAAAATTACATAAAGACGTAACTACATTCCAGAACGCACATACGCATAACAGAGAATACATATAACCTCAAAAATTATAGTGAAAAACATGAACTTAGCTTATATAATTTTTAGCTGATTTTGCTTAGTAAGCATACATTTTAATTGCTAAATATTAGTTATTGTTATTAAGTTTCGCTATTTTGTAAAGCCTTGAGTGTTTTTTAACTGTCTATGCGCCTAAAATTAAGCAAATTTTTTTGTTTTCTGTGCTTCGCAGTTTAGAAGCTTGGTTCAGTTATTTTTTATGGATTTATGAAACTTAATATTGCATACATGTGTTTTTTTGTATTCATATATATACTTTTTTGTAATACAAATTTACTTAGCATTACTCTTGCCACTCTATTTACCACCTAGGTGCCGTCCGTATCGAAGGCTGGAAGTGAAAATAGCAATGGTAGTGATATGCAAAAGCAATAAAATTGTGGAAATGCTTTAATATCGATTAATTTCCATTGAATACTAGTAGTGGAAAAATCAAAAGCACCTGAAGGTATACACAAACACTTTTGAATACTTTTTATGATTTATTTTGAGTAGTTTCGAATTTATACTACAATTTGGACATGGAAAAATCAAATTTATATAAAACTGCAAGAAAATCGAAAAAATTTGCTGCCTTAATATAATTTTTAAAATAATCCACAATTAATAATCGGCAATATTAAAAGCGCTCGTTAAAGAACCAATATGAGTTTAATGAGACATAAGCTCAACAAAATTTAAATTATAAGGCCTATGAGAAAAGCATCCCACAGGCGGTCAGAATGCAGTATATTAGGGATAAGATTTACGCCGGTTTAAAACACGAGCACTATTATCAGAAAAATATTCTCCCTGAAGTTTACTTATATTCCTTAGAGTTTTACTGATATTTAACGTAAAAAATCAGCTGTTGGCACTAAGATCCTCATTTTCGCTATCTGGGTACTAAAAAAGTTTAGGTTCGATTTGACTTTATTTTAAACGTGAGGTGGCAAACTTTTGAGGTACTATCTGCTAAAGGTTTTTTTCCATACCTTTATTGGTGCTTGATTTATATTATAAAAAATGAAATATTAAGAGGGAGTTCAAAATATTGATATATTGGAAGTAGTATTTCACAAAAGAACACAAAAATACCGGGCCAATGTCGTACATCACATTTGGTAGAAATTGGTCCTGAAGTTCCTAAGACAAAAGATTTCCCACAAAGGCTCCGCCCATCTGCAGCATTAACCATCTCATGGATTCAAACTCATCTTGTCACCTTGATCATTTGTATATATATAACTCTATACCTATACCCATTAGTTTAGGTGTTACCAACAACCGTTAGGTAAAAAAGGCTATACTACTTTGTAGCAACCTGTTACGAGAGTATAAATATTATTGAACGTTTAGGAAATTAAAATCTTTCGTGAGCATTTTTTTAAATTGTTTCTTTGCTCAATATCGTTATAATTTTCTATTTAAATATATTTTTTTTGTATTTGGCACCATACCTCTCATAGCTTTCAGCTGCGGATGACCATACCCAATGTGTGTTGGAATTGCTTGAGCAAGACGGCGATCTTAATTCATAACGCGCGTAGGCGTGACATCGTTAGCACAGGGTGGCTATTTAGATGCGGTAAAATATTGATAAAAGCCGGTGCTATTAGGGATACGAAATTGGTGGTAAGTTGAGCATTATATTGGAAAAAAAAATATATTGAGGAATTAAACTTAAAATGAAATGAAATTGAATTAAGCAGTACTGAAATTAAGCTCCGTTATTACGGGTAAATAATAATTTTAGGCACAGTTAAGTTATGTTAGGTTACCGTATAATACGTTAAGGTTATGTAAGCTATGTTAAGATCAGTAAAGTTTACTAAAAATTTTTTAACTAAACTTACCTAATAACAGTTTTGTACTGTTATTTAAAGCTGATATTTTGACGTTTAATGTTTAAAAATTAGGAAACCCTATTAGCATATCTAGAGCGAAGGAGGCAAAAGCGTCAATTTAAGTACTAATTCTCTTGTCTTCTCTCCCACCAGGATCGCGCCATACCCGTTTCACAGCCGCACGAAACGGCTATCGCTACGTGCTATCCTTGCTCATCACGGCGGTCGCCAATTCCGATATGTAGCGAATAGAGGGTGCTACACCACTTTGGTTCGACATACAAACGAGACACGATCACATATATACGGTGTTGTTGTAAAACAGCGTCTTTGTAAATAGAGAACGCTGTAACGATGCAACGCCACTCGTTAAGGCGGCTCATAAGGGATACGCGGCGCTTGTGACTGAACTCTTGAAATACCGACCTAATTATCGGTGGAAGAACTAATTCGGTAAAATATGTGCAATTTATGAATAAGTATTCCAAAAATCATGTTTCAAAAGTTTTTTCGAAATATTAATATTGAAATTCGTATTCCACCATACACATATGGTATACATACTAACTTATGCTATAATCTTTGTTACTAAAACTGTAATTTTTTAAAAATTGTATTAAATGCGCATATTAAAGAGTACACGGAGCTCTGATTGGGTTAGTGAAATAAAAAATTTTGAATATCTGAAAATTATTGTGATTGTTTTATTGAATTCTGGGAAATATACTTTTCGGCCTAAAACGTTTTAAATGTTTTAAAAGGTATTAAAGATGAGTTTAAATAAATTCATCTTAATCTTCTGCTTATTATCTTTATTATTATTTTCTGAAAAGCTTTCGTTAAGCTCTCCTTATTTGCTGCCATTGTGTAAGCTTTCATTGAAATTTAATAGTATTTAATAGTATTTAATAACACTAAATATTATCAATTATAGTTATATATGTGCTGCCATATACTTTCGTGGTACATCTCTCATTCAAGAATTTCCCACTTATATGTATTTTTTGTGCCGTTGGCTCCATATTTAGAACGAAATTACCATCTAGCTACTTTACGAAATAAACATCTAGCGTCAACTTTTTATTGCTTAATGCCAAGCTTTCTACCAAAATTTAAAACCGTGGTTGCGGTCTACGATACACCGTAAATATACCCGTATTGATTTTCCAGCTTTTTCGTAAGTATATATGTGATAAAAACTTTTCAATTTATATATTTAAATCGATTTACGAATTATGTTCTTTCAGGACTTGCACATTACATTTTTGATGTGCAGAAAACTTTCGGAATTTTAGTTTTTGCTCTAATTTTGTTCCAGTTCATAAAAATAATTTAAGTCTCTATCAGTATTTCTAGTGTACAGTCTAGTGTATCTTCTACAATGTGAGAAGTTAGTACTTTACAATAGGGAATGCTTATTGGGGTAATATTACTCAATACGGTTATACTTTAGAGATCTAAGAATTAAGTAAATCTATTTAACCATTTTATTGATTATAAAGAGATGGGAGTTGTACAAATCTTATAGAGATATCATTATATAGTGGCACTGGAGAGAACGGCTGATGATGTCGCTATTTATTTATGGTATTTATTGGGAAAGTAATTGTGCACGATAAATTTTAAAGTAGTGCTTCTCGGAGAAAGCGTGGATTTTCGTAAGGAAATTGTATGTTATTTCGTAAACCCTTATAGTGTTGTAAAACCTATTTTGAGCGAGACTTTAGCCGTAATTCGGCTGCGTGAACTTTCAAGATTACATAATGTCAGTGATCACATTCTTCATGAGATATTCACGACCTCAAACCAAAGTTCATAAAATTTTGGCTTAAGAATTTATGTTCGTCTTTGTTTAGCTTTGTTCGAGATTTATATTGATTACCTACGCTCCCAGTGTTTTATTTACCACCAATTAATTTGTGTGCAAAAGCATCACTTTAACCTAACCTCACTTATTAAGTAATTTGTTGTGTTGGTTCACCCTTTTTCGTTTTTGTGATATCATGATTTAGCTCACTTTTTCCCAAACTCAACTTGTAATGATTGGAGGCAAACTAATGAAATATAACACAGTTTCACGCACGCGATATAATACCTAAAATATACATCATTATTTGCAGCCATAATCATTTCTATACAATCAGCGTTGGTTTCGTAAGTCATCTCGTCTAAATATATGCCTGTGTATGTATGTATATATTAGTACGACTTATGACCGTTATGTAGTCCATATTACCTCCGCTTAGCATTTAATTACATGACTACACATTTTGTACGTTAACGGTAACTCGCAGTGGAATATTGTTTAATCAATTTTGAAAACTCCAACCAAGGAAACTAATTATACCAAATATAATCAATTTGTGTTACCAAATATGCTTGACATAACATACGCCAAACACAGACACCTGAGTGCCCCTATGTTGTGTGAGAATATTCCCCTCTGGAGAATGAAGCCAATTAAATAGATGATTAGGCAGCAAAATGTCGATTAATGAACGTAGCCAGTTGGCATTACAATAAATGTAGTTATAGATTTGAATTTTATGGTTAAATTTGATTTTGTGGTTGAAGGGTTTGCTTCGGAGAAGATTTGTAGATCTTTACTCAATCTTATTTGAGAATACCATTGTGTATCCTTCCACCTTGAGTAGAGTTATGCGGTACTTAAGGTAAGATAGTACTCTATACTGCTTTTTTATTCTCTATTCCCTACTCTTCTTTAAACGATACTCTGAAATCTACTATATACATACTCGTATAAACTGAGATATAATGTCAATGAGTCATTTCTAATCTTTATTGTACTGCGTTTTACTTAACTCTACTTTTATTATAGAAGATGTGTCCTAAAAATAACTGAACTTTTTAAATATAAAATAAAATGCACATTATTTCATCTTTGAAGGTTATAATTTATTCCAAATGGGCGGCGTTAGACTCAATGCCATGCTTGGAACGATCAACAAGCGCATGCCTAGAATTTTGTTTATGTCATTTTTGGGAATATTTTTCTACACTGTCTTATACTTCAGATACACTGCCCTATATTTAACTCAAAACTCGAATCTATTTGTCAAAGGAGTTCTCATGAAAATGAGCCTGCTCTACTGTATAATCTATATTCTTCTCTCGACTCTACTCCATACTCTACACTCAAAACTAAATATGAAAAGAGATCTTGGGAAAATTAGCCCACTTTAGATTATATACTACTACGTTCCATTCTGTTCTACATATATA